ATGATATTTTTATTTTAGAATAAATAATAGATAAAAATCAAACAAATTAAGTTTTATTTGGTTATTCAATAAGTAGAAGGAATTTTATTTAAAACAATTTAAAACAGATTTATCACCTTTTGTTTATTTTCATATGAATTTTTTACAGTTGATTTACTCTTGTTTTAAAAATATATGCATTCAAAAGACTCAGATTCAATCAAAATTATTGAAAATAGTTCATTGTTATCGAAAATTTTCTCGTGTTGAAGAAAATTGAAGTAGATGCCAATTTTGAACAATTATTTTATTTTTATCAGAATGAGATTCGTATAGAGTCTGTAGCCTCTATAAGAGTCTGCACGATGTCATATATGCAAATATTGAAGGTTTGAAATTGAGTTCGATTGAAACATGAATTTTGACATGTATGACATTCTATGCGGGTGTAGATGTGGGTGTGATAGAATAGAAGATCCACGTCTTTACCCTCGCCCACCCGCACCAACACCCACACCGCGCCTCCAGTCTCAACCACTCGCACCGATACCCACAATCACACCCCACACCCACGCGCACATCCACACCCCTCCAATGAAAACTTTAATGCAGTTTCTTCGTACAGTACACGTCTTATGTGCATCATTTCAAGAGGATAGTATATTTGATTAGTTTTTGTCATTCGCTCAAGGTGTGATTAATTTTGAAATGAGTAATTGTGACAAAGCGTTCAGTTTTAAGCGACCTTTATGCATAAAAACAAAGATAAAAAATGATTTAAATCTAAGTATAATTGCAGCAAAACATCAACAATTTTTTATCCACCACTAGAGGAAAATAAGGCTACGGCAATAACAAAAAAATGGTTCATCATATGTGTTAATTATGATTGTGAATGGTAACGATTCTTATGTGTAGTTTGTTGACTGGAACGAAAAATTAAATAAGACTTCTGTTACCAATGATAAAATTGATTGTCATCATTCGCATCATCTGTACTGCAACCAGGAGTCCACTTTGAAAGTTTAGTTATATTTGCAAATCCAAGTTTCGCTGCAGGGCTATTAGATTGAATAGTAAAAAAATCACATTGATTGACATCGCCAACAAACAATGGATCTGCTATTACACTATCGTTGTCTTGTCCAGTTTTTTGCCACTCTACAAATGGTGTTTGTTGTATTCCAAATAATAAAGGAGTACCATATGGATTATAATAAACATTGCTACTAAATGATACAGAGACATTTGCGGCATCAGATTTGAACGCAGAATGATTGCTTCCTTGAAATGTGTCATAGACAATATTACGCGTAAATGTCCATGAAAGATGATTTTCGGTATTCATAATACGAAGATCACCATCTGGAATGGGATCACCGGGTTGTGGTGGTTGAATTACTGATGTACGTGCAAATACATTATTAATGATGGTATTATTAGCCCCATAATGTTGAAACAAACCACCCCAACCAATATTATATACAACATTATTCGAGACGACGATCTCAGACGAGCCTTCATCTAGATAAATGCCCCACATGTAGGCAGCGTAGCTAAAAACGTTTTTAATTACATTGTTCGTAATAATCGTTCCTGGCTGGATACCGAGTGTATAAATGCCGCCTTGGTCACAAAGAATATGTTGACCGGTGTTATAGATATAGTTCCCATGAACTACTATGTTACTTGTATATGATGGACTATAACCCCATTCCCATCCCACTGAAATTCCAGTGTATCGATGATGGTGAACACTATTATCAGCAATGATAACATCAACTGCACGGTGAATAATAACTCCAACACCACTTGGAAATACATTTCCACCGTAACTGACTTTGTTTGATATTATATGTATAGAATTAGTTGGGATTGATATTGGTGCTATCATTTGACCAATACGAATACCACCAGCACCAGTATCGGTAATTAACGAGTTAATAATATTGATATTGGTTGTTCCTTCTCTAATCCAAATACCATATGATCCAGTATGACTGACTTCGACATCTGAGATGATAATTGATGTTGCATTGGCAATATAAAGTGGAGCAGAATTAAGAAATGAGGCTGCTTGATAGTCAGCTTGTTGAGTGCGACCAATATTCCAGGCACTATGTTGTATTGCAACATTATTGATGATAATATCTGTGACTGGATTAGTGGCATTAGTACCAGCAACTAATACAACAAATTCATTCACTGATGTGATAATCTGTACTTTCGTCGGATCATAAGATCCATCGGTCATCAGATAAATGGTTTTCGTTGCATTCATAAAACAAAATGAGTTTGGCACAAATGATATACAAAGGTTTTCGATATGAAATCGCCGTTGTCCTTGAATAACATATGTTCCAATAGGAGAATTCGATGGATTGGTGAATAAAATGGTTCTATTCGACGTAATAATTTGATCAATATAATGATGTGATGTTGTCCAACTGTGATAAACAACTACCATGGCATCATCCAATGGCCAGGATTCAAATTGGCCTGGAGCATATTGAAAACCATATCGTGCCTGGTTCGGATCTTGTAATGGTGCAGCATATTGAAGATATTCAGATTGATTCATTGGAATACGTGTACGAACGATGCGTCGATTATCAACGAATAATTGATTGACGAATATTGGTTGTGTTACAACAGCTTTGTATGTATTATCGCCCACTAATGTCCAACCGGTTACTGGTATTCCACCACTTATACATGCAGTTGGTAATCGTTGATGCGTGTGTACACTAGCAGTTAATTTGTCATAAAAGGTAGCGTCTTCATCACTCATCGTTGTTAATCGTGTGTGACTATGTACTTGATCAAATCTAATAGAACTAACGAAGTAATGAGTTGGATACAAGTTGATTGTTGTTCGACGTATTGCAGTGATATCAGGGTGATGGTTACGTTCGGCATGATCAAGTGCTTGTTGAATCGATGAATATGGATGTGTGAGTGAACCGTCAGCGTCATTGGGAAGAAGTTTTGAAAATGGGACGACATATAACTGAGTGGACAGTAGTGTGCTGATGTTCAATGAGCTGATAGAATCACCACTAATTAGCAGCAACAGCAACATGAATTTGCACATGGCGGTTGCCATCATATTATTTTTTTAGCGCTTCTCAGTTCTTACGTTACAAACAGAAGATACGTCTAAAGAAGAGAAGAGATGCAACATTTAGATACAGGCTAGCCACTCAAGTTGAAGGTCCGTTGTTGATGGAAAAGATTGATAGTTGGAGAGAATCAGCTGATACGTGACACTAATTTACAGTAAAAAGTTACGCATATTGATTTTTTGATTTTAGCCTAAAATTTTTACGAATTTTTCGAACATAATTCGATATATGAGTATCTCTGTCCAAAAACTTGAAATAGATATAAAAAATCTCCTATGAGAACCAATAAATGAACGGAAAGATGAATTGTATTTGTATGGACTTGACAGAATTTTTCTCCAGTGATAATAACAATTAATATAGAAAAAAAAATATCATACTTTTCATGAATCTGTGTCTAGTGTAGAACTCTATATCTATGAGTCACATCGGGAAGGAAAATTCTTTTTACGTTACCTACATCTCCCCTGCTCCATGAAAAAGATACGGTTTCTTTGTGTTTTGTCGTTTTGCTGAGAAAAAACTAAAGAAACGGTATATAGAACAATAAATGATTAACAACATGCTGCTTCAAGGCTATAAATGTGGTCGAAATAAGGCACACAAACGAGCATCTGGTCAATTTATGTTTTATTCACACACTATATCTACAATAACAAATGTCTTACTTAATTCAATGGCATATCTTATTCTTATCAACACTCGAATTGTTCCATTTCCTCTTAAAAAAAAGAAAGATAACCTATGACATCTCTGAAGTCTAGCATACATGTTCAGACGCTTTGCTATTTCAAAAGACGAGTAAATGCAAAACAATGGTGCACTGAAGATATACAGTCGACGTCAAAAGTATTTCTCCACTTTTTTGTTTGAGTCATGTATTAAAACTACACAACATTAATTTAATTTCATTACATGTCTATATAGTAGAGGTCAAGTACTATATATATACACCTGTTTAATATGAAAAACCCTTAAATATAAAATACAACAAAAAAATTAAACTTAAGTGCTGAGAAAAAAAATGAGATAAAAATGCGCAAAATGATATTTTGATTATAGGATACCTTCATGGACAGTCAAGCACAAAAAACACAATATTCAGAAAACTTTCTATTCTACTAGACTTTGTAGAGCTTTTTCCGCTGATCATTATGATAAAAAAAAACATTTACAGTTTCATTGAGAAATGACGGCGTTATAGTCAAAATATTAAACACTCTGAAATCCCGAGGGCTTCAAAATGTTTACAACATAGTTTATTTTGCGAATATCTCTGCACAGACAAATGATAAATTCTTGGTTTTTTTCTCCAAAATATGTGTCGTGAAAAGCTCTACAAAAAATGTAAGAACAAATTCCTATTGACTTGTTCTGATGGTTTCTTCCATACTCGAAATGAAAAAAAACATACATGATAGTGCTATCTTCCCATCGTATTTAACCCTTTGGGGACGGGGTTATTGTACAATATAAAGCACATATATATGCTTCCCGTCCCCAAAGGGTTAACGTAATAAAAATGTTCGGAAGACTTTTATATTTTACATGTATCTCGGTTAAAGGAAATGATACCACCTTGATTTTTATTTTCAAACGATGCGCCGTCGAAAGCTCTATAAAAGCTGTGAAAATTCTATAAACATATGCCTATTGCAAAACAAAAAAGTCTGCCAAACATTTTTATTATCATTTTGCGCATTTTTATCTCATCTTTTTTCTCAGCACGTAAGTTTGATTTTTTTATTGTATTTTATTTTTAAGGGTTTTTCATATTAAACAGGTGTATATATATAGTACTTGACCTCTATTATATAGACATATAATGAAATTAAATTAATGTTGTGTAGTTTTAATACATGACCCAAAACAAAAACAAATGGAGAAATACTTTTGACGTCGACTGTAATTAAAATAAGACTTCGTTCGAATGCATTTGGAAAACGCTTTTTTCATTAAACTAGTGGACATGTTAATGTGAAACACATATAGCGCAGTTGATGTGTACCGGTTGCATGTGCCTAATTCATTGATACCCGATTAAAAATTTTATAGATAGAAAATTTCTCCAACATGTCTAAAAGAGGTGAGAAGTTGACTATGTGGAAAATATTAAAAACGAAAATATAGGCTTCTGCTTTTTTTTTATAAATAACAGATGAAGTTACGCACACGGGTCTTTATAAATGGCTTTTAATCGAATCTTTGAATGAGACTCTCTCGCGGACAAAAAAAACGGCCTTTTTCCATTTCACTTTTGCATTGCTTTACACTTTGTTTTAAAAAAACAAAATATACCACAAGATGCAGCGTGAAAAGAACTACAACCTACAAAGTAAAGCTTATTTTATTTGTGTGCTTTTTGCTTTCGAAAAAAAGCAAAATCCTGTGCGCCTAATTTTCGACGCTGCAAAAATATCATTTTTTCTTATATTATCTTACCTCATCTTATCTCATCTTTTTATCACCTAATGTGCTTTCTTGAAAAAAAGACAAAATATACCAGAAGATACAGCGTGAAAAACTCTACAATCTACAAAGTGAAGCTTAATTTAATTGTGCACTTTTTGCTTTCAAAAAAAGCAAAATCCTGTGCTATCAATTTTCGACGCTGCGAAAAAATCTTTTTTTCTATGCGACGAGAAATTCCTTTTTTCTTATTTCATCTTTTTATCAACTAGTATGTTTGTGTGAAAAAAAAAACAAAATATATCAGAAGATGCAGCGTGAAAAATTCTACAATCTACAAAGTAAAACTTATTTAAATTATGTACTTTTCATTTTCAAAAACAGCAAAATTCTGTGAGACCAATGTCTGACGCTGCGAAAAAAATCATTTTTCTACACGAACGAGAAATTCTTTTCTTCGTATTTGAATAAATTGTTCTATGTAAATTATAGAGCTTTTCACGCTGCATCTTCTGGTATATTTTGTTTTTTTTCAGAAAAGCACAGTAGGTGATAAAACGATGAAATAAAGAAAAACGAATTTCTCCTTGGCATAAAAAAATGATATTTTCGCAGCGTCGAAAATTGGGCGCACAGGATTTGGCTTTTTTTCGAAAGCAAAAAGCACACAAATAAAATAAGCTTTACTTTGTAGGTCGTAGTTCTTTTCACGCTGCATCTTGTGGTATATTTTGTTTTTTTAAAACAAAGTGTAAAGCGCTGCAAAAGTGAAATGGAAAAAGGCCGTTTTTTTTGTCCGCGAGACACTGTTTAAATTATATAATTAATAAATGATCATCATAATTCATCTACATAGGGTGGGTGTGGGGTGTGAGTGTGGATGTGGGTGGGCGTGGATGTGGGTGGGTGTGGATGTGGGTGGGTGTGGATTTGGGTGAGTGTAGGTGTGGATCTTTCCTTCTCCCACACTCACATTCACACACGTACACCCACACCCACACCCACACACCGACGCCGACACCCACACCCACCCACACCTACCCATACCTCACGCATCCCCACCCCACACCCACACCCACACACCGACGCCGACACCCACACCCACTCACACCCACCCACACCCCACCCATCCCCACCCCACACCCACACCCACCCACGCACACCCATCCACAGCCACACCCGCTGTGGCAGTGACTGTAGCTATGAGCGTGATTGAAATCTGTATTCACATCCACACACCCACACACCACCCACACCTACACACACCAACATCCACACCCGCACTCACCCTCCACACCCATGTCCTCATCTTGAACTAGCTATAGATATACATGTGAAGGTTTCATGACACCCTCAGTGTTTGGATTGAGTGCATGTGCAAATATAGTGACATGATATTGTAAATGTCTGACTATCGGAACAATATTGACATAGGAAATAAATAATAAAAAACGTCACTAACTTGTTGTATGACAGTGACAGAATGCAGCTATTGCAGAGATCGTAGCAAAACTATCAATGGTAATCTGACAAACAATAGTTAACATTTTATCTTTTTACACAGGTAAGAATTTCACGAATGAAGCAGCAAATTCGAACTTATATCATTCTGCAGCATTACACCAGTGTTAACTACAATCAATATTGAAAAGATGCCAAAGAGAACTAATTTATGTTGGCATTGCAAGAGTCCTTCTCATGATTTCATAAAAAATTGTTCATCTTTTCTGATTCCCCTGATGATCGGTCTTCTAACAGGAGCCATAGCCATTGTTGAACTTTACACAGCTGGACAGCGTCGTCAACAAGATTTGATTATTGCGAATCGCATCCGTGAGCAAGACTTATTAATTGCTAACAGGGCACGTTCGGATGCCGTGTTAGCAACATATATAAAGGAAATGTCTGAGCTATTTTCATCATCTAACTTTTCATTTACTCACATTAATCCTTTATTCTTGTCTGTCTTTCGATCTAAAACTCTCACTGCTTGTCGTCAACTTGATATCGAACACAAAACTCATCTCATTCGATTTCTTTATGAGTCCGGAGCGATCATGGTCGGGCAAAACCCCATAACATTAACTGATGCCGAATTAAACGGCATTGATCTGAGCGTGCCTATGTTTCATACCAAACGGCGGTCGACCTTGCGTAATATATCGTTAGGAGGAACATCACTACGAAACGCCTCGTTCAACAATTTAATCGTAGAAAATGCCAATTTTACTGAGTGTGATTTAACAGGAGCCAGTTT